CGACGTTCCGAGTGATCTGGCAGCACTGTTGAAGCAGTACAGTGACATCTTCCCGGACGACCTACCGACGGGACTGCCACCTCAGCGACCGCACGACCACAGGATAGAACTAGAGCCGGGGGCACAGCCGACAGTACAGCGACAGTCCCGACTGACCCAACCCGAACTGGACGAACTGAGGAAGCAGCTGGATTACCTGCTCGAGAAGGAGTTCATTCGCCCTAGTTCGTCGCCCTTCGCAGCACCGATACTGTTCACACCGAAAAAAGACAGCGATTTTCGCATGTGCATAGATTACAGAGCACTGAACAGGGTTACCATGAAATCCCGTTACCCCATCCCACGAGCCGACAAACTGATCGACCAACTGCTCACAGCCCGGGTTTTCTCGAAAATCGACCTTCGAGGAGGTTACCACCAGATTCGCGTCAGCCCACCCAACTACCCTAAGACAGCCTTCCGAACACGCTACGGATCCTTCGAGTACATCGTCATGCCCTTCGGACTGACCAACGCCCCCGCCACTTTTCAAATGACCATGAACGAAGCCGTCCGCCCGCTTTTAGATAAGTGCGTCATCGTGTACCTTGACGACATACTGATTTACAGTTCCGGCGGAGTACATCACTTACAGTACAGCGACAGTTCCGACTGACCCAACCCGAACTGGACGAACTGAGGAAGCAGCTGGATTACCTGCTCGAGAAGGAGTTCATTCGCCCTAGTTCGTCGCCCTTCGCAGCACCGATACTGTTCACACCGAAAAAAGACGGCGATTTTCGCATGTGCATAGATTACAGAGCACTGAACAGGGTTACCATGAAATCCCGTTACCCCATCCCACGAGCCGACAAACTGATCGACCAACTGCTCACAGCCCGGGTTTTCTCGAAAATCGACCTTCGAGGAGGTTACCACCAGATTCGCGTCAGCCCACCCAACTACCCTAAGACAGCCTTCCGAACACGCTACGGATCCTTTGAGTACATCGTCATGCCCTTCGGACTGACCAACGCCCCCGCCACTTTTCAAATGACCATGAACGAAGCCGTCCGCCCGCTTTTAGATAAGTGCGTCATCGTGTACCTTGACGACATACTGATTTACAGTTCCGGCGGAGTACATCACTTACAGGACATCGAAGCAGTTTTTAAGATACTGAGTGAGAGCCGCCTAATGACAAAATCGTTAAAGTGTGAGTTTTTACAGGACCGACTGGAGCTTTTGGGACACATTATTTCAGCTGCAGGAGTGGAAATAGACCCAAAAAAGATCACGACGATTCAAGCATGGCACGCGCCGACCAACTTGACCGAGTTGCAGAGTTTTTTGGGGTTCGTCAACTACGAGCGCCGGTTCGTCTCCGACATGGCAAAGCTGACTGCCGTTGACCGACCTACTGAGGAAGGGGGTTGAGTACACGTGGGGGGAGAAAGAGCAAGTTGCCTTCTCGGCCCTTAAAAATATTTTGTGCTCACCGCCCGTACTTCACATCGCAGATCCGCACCGTCCGTTTGAGCTCGTCACCGACGCTAGCGACATCGCTGTGGGAGCAGTACTGTTGCAGGACTTCGGGAACGGCCTTCAGCCAATCGTGTACGAGTCCCGCAAGCTTCACCCGCCCGATCGCAACTATCCGATACACGACCGCGAAATGCTGGCGATCGTGCACGCGTTCAAGGTGTGGCGATGTTACCTCACGGGAGCAGACCACCGATCCCTACAGTACATTCGCGCCCAACCGAATCTCAACCTACGGCAGATCCGCTGGTTGGACTATCTGAAGTCCAACTTCCACTATACGGTCACGTACAAAAAAGGCGCATCCAACATCGCCGACGCACTCACACGCCCCACCGCCCAACTCCACGCCATCCTACTTGCCCAAACCAACCCACTGTTAACAGGCCTATTCACCCACGGATACTGTTCGACCCATTTTTTACGACCGGAAATTCAGAGCAATTGGCAGAGGCCAGAGGAGCCTATTACGTAAAAACGGGCACCAACCACATATAGGTACTCGCGTACTCGCTACTGAGAAAAACTGTTGCTGCAGGAGGCGCACGACGGGATTACCTCGGGACATTTCGAGGTAGAAAAAACGCGACAGCAACTGCAGCGGTATTACTACTAGCCGGAGCGATTGACCGACGTACAGCACCACGTGGACTCGTGTACTACGTGTCAGGTGATGAAGAGCTCGCGAAAAAGAAAGGCGGGTCAGTTGCAGCCGATTCAACCGCCTAAGCGCGCCTCACAACAGATTGTCAAACTCATATGCTTTAGTCTGTGTAGGCTGTAGTGGGGTAGACAATATGGGGTACAACACTTTTAGGTTTTGCTACTTGTACCCATCTGCTTGCTAGTTCATTCATTCCTCATTTCTTCACATGGTATAGAGCAGGTTCCCTAGTGGGAACGCTTCCTGTTGAGATAGGGCCTAGGCTTAGTAGCCTAGGCCAAGTGGTAGTTAAGTTTAGGTAGGGCCTAGGCTTAGTAGCCTAGGCCAAGGGGAAGTCGAGAAAGTTGTGCCTAGGAGAAAGTCGAGAATGGGAATGCTGTTCACTAAAGCACTAGGGTACATATAGCAAACAGAGCATGCAAAGAAGGTGCACCACCAACAGTTTATAATAACTACACTAAACTACAGCTACAGGCAGTTACATATATATTCTAACACTCCCCCATAACTGCCTGCAGCAGGAGTTTGCGCAGAACACAACCTGCAGGGGTACACCAGCAACAGCAACAGCAGGCACGGTAACAGAGCAGGTACAGCAGCAAAGTGACAGGCGACAGAAAGACATTCCTGCCACCCCCTTACTCTCTTCCCCCCCCAACCATAGGAGGGGCAGCAGGGAGAGTGAGGAGGCGGGCTAGCTCTGGCTGGTCACCCCCTCCATCTCCTCACCCTCCCCCTCCCCCTCCCCCCCACACTGCTGCAGGAGCAGCAGAGGGGGGAAGAGAGGAGAGGTGGAGGGATGGCTGCTGGTTGGTCTCACACCCGCCACCCTAGTGCCACTCCCCCGGCTCCCCCACACCCTCACACCCTCCCCTCCAGCGGCAGCTGCAGCAGTGGGAAAGAAAGGAGGAGGAGGGGAAGGAAAGCACACCACCCATCACCCCCATACCCGCCACCCCCATACCCTCCCCCCCACGGCTGCAGGGAGACGAAGGAGGAGGGGGTGGGCGGGGAGAAAGCCGCAGAGCCGCTACAGAGGGTCGGCGCGGGTAGGTCAGGGGCGGCTGCAGCGACTGCAGGCGCGGGGTGAGGCAGAGGCGGCTGCACCGAGTGCAGGAGCAGGGACGGCTGCTCCAAGGGCAGGCGCTGGGTGGTGCAGGGGTGGCTGCAGCGAGTGCAGGCGCGGGTGAGGCAGGAGCACCGCCGAGTGCGCCAGGGGCGGGTACGCGGCGGCTCAGGACACCGTCGCAGGCGCCAGGGGCGGTTCCGCGGCGGCTCAGGGCACCGTCGCGCACCACAGGGCACGTGACGGGCAGTTTAGGGCACCGTCGCGTGCCACGGGGCGCACGACGGGGCGCACGACGGGCAGGGCACCGTTGCGTGCCACGGGGTGCACGACGGGCAGGGCACCGTTGCGTGCCACGGGGCGCACGACGGGCAGGGCACCGTCGCGTGCCACGAGGTGCGCGACGGGCAGAAAAGATGTCACTCGCCACCCGGGGGTGGGACAGGACGAAAATCGCCATGCGCCAGAGGCGCGCGACCGGAAAAACAGCAGCGGAAGCGTGAGGCGGGCCCACAGGCCTGGACTTAACAGTCTCTGATTCCATGTTGAGAAAGGAGCACAAGTGGTAGTTAAGTTTAGGTAGGGCCTAGGCTTAGTAGCCTAGGCCAAGGGGAAGTCGAGAAAGTTGTGCCAAGGAGAAAGTCGAGAAAGGGAATGATGTTCACTATAGCACTAGGGTACATATAGCAAACAGAGCACGCAAAGAAGGTGCACCACCTACAGTTTATAATAACTACACTAAACTACAGCTACAGGCAGTTACATATATATTCTAACACTTCCTAAGGCCCACCACTGAAAATCGAAAATTTTCTGACCGGAGCGCGAGTCGCCCCTGCCCGAGGCGCGCCCCGTGGGCCGCCCTCTTGTCGCGTCCCCTGCCCTTAGCAGCCTGTCGCGCCCTCCTAGAGGCCCCTCTCACAGCCCCTTGCGCCACCCCTAGCGGCCCCGTCGCCGCCCTTAGCGGCCCCGTCGCCACCCCTAGCGGCCCCGTCGCCACCCTTCGCGGCCCCGTCGCCGCCCCTAGCGGCCCCGTCACCGCCCTTATCGGCCCCATCGCCGCCTCTAGCGGCCCCGTCGCCGCCCTTCGCGGTCCCGTCCCCGCCCCTAGTGGCCCCGTCGCCACCCTTCGCGGCCCCGTCGCCGCCCTTCTTGGCCCCTCGCGGCCCATTCGCGGCCCCGTCGCCGCCCCTAGCGGCCCCGTCGCCGCCCTTCGCGGCCCCGTCGCCGCCCCTCGCGGCCCCGTCGCCGCCCTACGAGGCCCCTCGCGGCTCCTTCGCGGCCCCGTCGCCGCCCTTCGCGGCCCCGTCGCCGCCCCTATCGGCCCCGTCGCCGCCCCTATCGGCCTCGTCGCCGCCTCTAGCGGCCCCGTCGCCGCCCCTAGCGGCCCCGTCGCCGCCCTTCACGGCCCCTCGTGGCCTCTTCTCGGCCCCGTCGCCGCCCTTCGTGGCCCCATCGCCACCCTTCCCGGCCCCTCTTCTCGGCTCCTCCGCCACCAGCAGAAGCCGCCGCCAGCAGCAGCCGCCGCCGCCGCCAGCAGCAGACGCCGCCGACAACAGCGGCGGCCACCACCAGCAGCAGCCGTCGCCGCCGACAGCAGCGACTGCCGCCGCCACTAACAGCAGGAGCTGCCTGCCGACGCGCCTCGGCCCTGCCCCACCGCTTGCCGGCCCCTACCTACCAGCCCTGGTGAGAGTACTGCCGAGCCACGCCTGCTACTGCTGCCCCTAGCCTGCTGCCACTGCTGTCATGGCTACCCCTAGTGTTCTTGTCTTTGATGCTGAGGGTCGGGCTGTTGACTTTGAGGTCTGGTTCGATGATCTACAGCTTTTCCTACAGTGCGATAGGAAGGACGGTCTCTCCCTGTTCGATCTCACGTCTGGCGCCTCTACTGCCCCTGCTGCCGATGCTGACAGCACTGTTCGCTCACAGTGGGCCACACGCGATGCTGCTGCTCGTCTTGCTGTGCGTAGTCACTTGCCATCCACTGAGAGCGCACACTTTAGTCACTACAAGAGTGCTAAGACCTTGTACGATGCTGTAGTTGCACACTACTCTTCCCCTGCCACTGCTGCCCTTAGCCGCCTCATGCTGCAGTACCTGTTTCCTGACCTCGCCGCCTTTCCCACTGTCGCTGACCTCGTTACGCACCTTTGCACTAGTGACACCCGCTACCGAGCTGCGCTTCCTGCTGAGTTCTGCGCCAAGAACCCCCCCCCCCATGTACATCACCCTCTACTACATAGTCACCCGGCTCCCTGACTTCCTTCGCTCGGTCAGGGACCACTTCCTCTCTGTTTGCCCCACCACACTCACCGTTGACCTCCTCGAGGAGCGCCTCCTGGCAGCTGAGAAGAGTGTAGTCGCTGTAGGAGCCTCTCCTGGTGACACTCGTGCCCCTGTCTTTGAGGGGTGCTCCCCCTCCCCTTTTTTGCCCTCTCTTGCCTCTGCTGCCCCCGTCGACTTCGTTGGCACCGAGTCGGTCGACGCTGCATCTGCCCCTAGCGGGCGACGCCGCACCGGCAAGGGCAAGGGGGGCAAGGGCGCTGGAGGGGCTGGCGGGGGCGGTGGAGGTGGCAGTGGAGGCGGCGGAGGGAGTGGGGGTGGTGGTGGGAGTGGTGGTGGGGGTGGGGGCTTCGGTGGCGGCGGTGGAGGCGGAGGCGGCGGCGGCGGTGGCGGTGGGAGCGGAGGAGGAGGCGGTGGCGGCGGTGGCGGAGGTGGCGGCGGAGGAGGTGGAGCTAGTCGGGGTGGCTCTGCACAGCGGGGCGGCTTCGGTGGTGGTCAGCACCAGCAGCAGCAGCGTACTCGTGAGACCCCGCCCCCCCAGCAGCTTCGTGAGTGGTACTCTACGCGTTAGAGAGGTGGGGGTGCTTGTCCTTGTGCCTACATCCTGCGTACCGGCGACCGCACTGGTGAGCCGTGCGGTGGCCCGCACACCACCTAGCGCTGCTTCCGCCGTCTGACGGACGCTTGGCGTCTCCAATTCCCTGACGCCACTGAGATCCAACGCAGGGGCGAGCTGCTTAGGTCGGGGGTTGCTGTCTTTGATCTCGATTATGATGCCATTCTTGCTGCCATGTATGTTGTGCCTACTAGTGATGAGGGTGACTGTTACGTGTGAATTCCGCCTGACCCAGGCATTGAGGCTACTGCTCTAGGTGCTGGTGAGGCTGCTGCTCTAGGTGCTAGTGCGTCTGCTGCCACAGGTGCTGGTGAGTCTGCTCTCTCAGGTACCACGTCGGCTCAGGCCTTACACACCTTCACCCTTGACTCGGGTGCTTCCCGCTCCTTCTTTCGAGACCGCACCACGGTTACGCCGCTTAGTCGACCGGTTGCGGTCTCCCTGGCGGACCCCTCTGGGGGTCCTGTCCTTGCCCACTTCTCCACTGTCTTACCGTGTCCAGCAGCCCCCTCTAGCAACCTGTCAAGTCTCTACCTCCCCTCGTTCTCTACGAACTTGGTGAGTGGTGCTGATCTACACGATGGGGGGGTTGACCAGTTCACTCTTGCGAGTCAGCGGGTGACCCACTGTACGTGTGCTCGGACGGGCCGACACTTGGCCACGTTTACCCGTCGGCCGGGGTCGAGCCTGTACACACTGACTACTGAGCCTCCTCCGGTTGCTGCGTCTGGTCAGGCAGCGCGCCGCCCCTCACTGCTCCGAGTTTCCTCCGACAGAGTATCCGCTGCGGACTCTTTGCATGGACGTATGGGGCTCCGCCCGCGTCCGTGGCCAGGGTCACGAGCGTTACTTCCTGTTGGTGGTTGACGACTACTCGCGTTACACCACAGTGTTCCCCTTGCGCAGCAAGGGTGACATCACTGAGGTGTTGATCGACTGGATCCGCGCAGCTCGTCTCCAGCTCAGAGAGAGCTTCGGCTCGGACTTTTCTGTTCTACGTCTGCACTCTGACAGAGGCGGGGAGTTTTCCTCTGCCCGTCTGGGAGCCTTCTGTCGTGCACAGGGCATCCGCCAGACCTTCACGCTTCTGGCCTCTCCACAGCAAAATGGGATTGCTGAGCGCCACATTGGCATGGTCATGGACGTCGCTCGTACGTCCATGATCCATGCGGCTGCTCCCCATTTTCTGTGGCCGTTTGCGGTTCGGTACGCAACGCATCAGATCAACCTTCAGCCCCGGGTCTCTTTGCCAGAGACCTCCCCCACCTTGCGGTAGACGGGGAAGGTTGGCGATGCGTCTGCGTTTCGTGTCAAGGGATCTCGGGCGTTTGTCCGCGACCTGTCTGCGGACAAGCTGTCCCCGCGTGCGGTTCCCCACGTCTTCCTTGGCTTCCCCTCTGATGCGCCTGGTTGGCAGTTTTACCACCCCACCTCGCGACGTGTTCTGTCCTCCCAGGACGTCACGTTTGACAAGTCGGTTCCTTACTATCGTCTCTTCCCCTACCGCACTGCACCCCTCCCCCTGCCGCCGCTCTTCCTTGCGCCAGGTCCCCCCCCGGTAGACCCCCTCCCCCCTCAGGTTCCTGCCCCGTCAGGTGTGTCCCAGGTAGACGCAGACGAGCCTGTCGAGGTAGCTGTTGACTCTGGTGCTGCTAGGGGTGCTGTGCCTGGGGATGCTGAGTCTGGGGGTACTGAGCCTGGGGGTGCTGAGCCTGGGGGTGCGGAGCCTGGGGGTACGGAGCCTAGGGGTGCTGAGCCTGGGGGTGCGGAGCCTGGGGGTATGGAGCCTGGGGGTGCTGAGCCTGGGGGTGCGGAGCCTGGGGGTGCTGGGTCTGCTCGTGTGGCCTCTGGCGGTGCTAAGTTTGGGGCCCCTTCGGGTGCTTCGTCGAGGCGGGAGCTACCCTCTCCACAAGAGCTACGCGAGTGGTTTGCCCGGCGCTGGAGCCGTGCTGCTGGAGCTGGAGGTGCTACTATTACTACTGACCCTGGGGTCGGCACTAGAGTTACTGGAGCCAGTAGTCCTGAAGGTGCTCGTACTGGCGGTACTGGAGCTGCTGGGCCTGGGGGTGCTGCTCAGACTACTGAAACTGACGGTCCTGCTGGAGCTGGAGCTGCTAGAACTGGAGCTGCTGGGGGTGTTGGCGCTGGAGGTGCTGCTGGCGCTGGTGCTTCTGAGGGTGTTGGAGTGGGCGCTATTGGAGCTGGCGGTGCTTCTGGCGCTGGTGCTGCCGCTGGGGGTACTGGTGCTGTCCCTGCTGGTTCTGGAGGCGCTCCGCGGCCGCGGCCGTACTTCGTTCCGCTCCTTGAGCAGGTTCTTGGTCTCCCGCCCTGTACTTAACCTGCTCCTCCCTTAGAGTGTCCATAGTCTGTCCAGTCGCGGTCACAGTTACAGCCCGCCTCCCCCCTACCTGCTCCTTCTCCCTACACTGGTCCTACTGGAGGTCTTGCTGAGCGTCATGAGCCTGCGTCTCATCCTGCGTCGCCTGTTCTTGCTGCTCGCACTAGTAGTCGTGCTCCGCGTCCGCGTCCTCCTCCGGTCCCAGGCACACACCAGATGTCATTGCGTCCTTCCATTGCTCCTCTACGTGTCCCGTTGTCGTCTCCTCCAGAGTCCTCTCTTCCTGTCCTTGCTGACCCGGAGTCTGACTCTCTTCGTGCTGCCAGTCCTACTGTCACGCGTCTCCTGGCTACCGTTGTCACTGACCCTTCCTTTGAGTCCACTGATGCGTCTGCCTTGGTTGCTGAGCTTGTCGACTTTGCTGCTCGTTGTCGTCTAGACAACGATGCTAGTCTTGTTGCTGAGTCTGAGTATGTCTGTCCTCCGTCCGTCGGGGGTGAGTGTGCTCTTAGCACGGACGTCCTTGAGGACACGCAGGAGGAGTTCCAGTGTTTTTCTGCTGCTTTGCCTTATCTCGTGTCCACGCTGATTGCCCCTGAGGGAGACCCGGATGCACCAGACATCCCGACTCCTCGATCGTACGCTGAGGCAATCGAGGGTCCCTAGTCCTCTCAGTGGCAGTCAGCCATGGACGCAGAGATGGCTTCCTGGAAGTCCACAGGCACTTACGTCGACGAGGTTCCCCCATCTGGGGCGAACATCGTCAGTGGCATGTGGATTTTCAGGGTGAAGCGGCCGCCGGGTTCTCCGCCTGTCTTCAAGGCGCGTTACGTGGCTCGAGGCTTCAGTCAGCGGCAGGGAGTTGACTACTTTCAGACCTTCTCTCCCACCTCAAAGATGACCCCTCTTCGGGTGCTGCTGCACATAGCCGCTCAGCGCGACTACGAGCTTCACTCCCTTGACTTAAGCACAGCTTTCCTGCAGAGCAGCCTGCACGAGGAGATCTGGCTGCGCCGCCCACCTGGCTTCACTGGGTCGTTTCCTCCTGGTACCCAGTGGAGCCTCCGTCGGCCAGTCTACGGTCTCCGCCAGGCGCCCCTTGAGTGGCACGACACACTGAGGACTACACTTGCGGCTCTTGGGTTCGCGCCTTCTACTGCTGACCCGTCGCTGTTTCTACGCACCGACACCTCTTTCCGCCATTCTACATCCTCGTGTACGTCAACGACTTGGTCTTTGCCACTGCTAACACTGCTGGACTCGTCCACGTGAAGTCCGAGTTGCAGAAGAGACACACGTGCACGGACCTGGGTGAACTGCGCAGCTACCTTGGCTTGCAGATCACCCGGGACATAGCACAGCGCACCATTACCCTGACTCAGTCACACATGGTGCAGCAGGTCCTTCAGCGCTTCGACTTCACGTACTCCTCGCCTCAGGCCACTCCTCTGTCTACTCGCCACTCGCTCTCAGTTCTGCCTTCGGATGAGTCCGTAGAGCCGAGTGGCCCGTACCCAGAGCTTGTTGGCTGCCTCATGTACTTGATGACCTGCACACGACCTGACCTTGCATACCCTCTTAGCATCTTGGCACGCTATGTTGCTCCTGGTAGATACCGAGCAGAGCACATGGCTGCAGCGAAGAGGGTGTTGCGCTACCTGTGCAATACGTCGGGCATGGGGCTAGTGCTTGGAGGGCGACGTTCAGTGGTCCTCACAGGTCACGCAGACGCTTCTTGGGCTGACGACCAGGCTACGCAGCAGTCGTCACAGGGTTACACCTTCAGTCTTCGTTCCGGTTCTGTTTCGTGGCGGTCTACCCGCTCGTCTTCTGTTCTCGGCTCCAGCTGTGAGGCTGAGATCTACGCAGGGGCCATGGCTGCACAGGAGCTACGCTGGCTCACCTACCTGCTGACTGACCTAGGAGAGCTACCTCGTTCTCCTCCAGTTCTGTACGTAGACAACAAGGCCATGCTGGCCTTGTGTCGGGAGCACAGATTGGAGCACAGAACGAAGCACATTGCTCTTCGCTACTTCCTTGCTCGTGAGCTGCAGCAGCGTGGTCAGCTGCGCCTTGCTTACGTGGCCTCTGAGGCCAACATTGCTTATATCTTTACCAAGGCAATTCCGCCTTGTGATCATCAGTGCTTCTCTACGATGCTAGGTCTTGTGCCTACTTGGCCTCACTTGCTCACTTCTTGACCTTGCTTGTACTGTGATCTTTCTATACCTGCACTTGCTTGTTTACCTTTATATATGATCTTGCATGTGAACTGGCTTTGTGGCCTTGAACTTGTGCTCGGAATGTGTGGTGACGTGGTGATCCACCCTGAGCTTGCTTTGCTTTGCTTGACTGGTCTTGTGACCTCTTTTTCTCCCCCACTTTGCCTATGGGGGTGTGTCAAACTCATGTGCTATAGTCTGTGTAGGCTGTAGTGGGGTAGACAATATTGGGTACAACACTTTTAGGTTTTGCTACTTGTAGCCACCTGCTTGCTAGTTCATTCATTCCTCATTTCTTCGCATAGTTTACCATGGATTTCGTCACAGGGTTACCTTCGAACCCTTGGGGTAACGACGCGGTTATGGTCGTCGTTGACAGGTTGAAGAAGATGGCA